CCCCCCCCCCCCCCCCCGGGGGGGGGGGGGGGGGGCCGGTTCAAAAAAGGAAAAAAAAAAAAAAAAAAAAAAAAAAAAAGGAATAAACTATGAAACACACATCTTTCTGTGTCTTTTTTAAAGCCTCACTTTTTAAAAAAATTTGGATATTTTTATGATTTAGGAAAATACAGAGACTAGTGTAACAAATACCCCAAATTAACTGTTAACATTTGGTTATATTTGCTTCAGACTCCTTTTTAATGAAAAAAATAAAATGATATGGATATGGTTAAAATCTTTGCACCCTTTCCTTCTCACTGTCCAGTAGCAAACACTCTCATGAGTTTAATAGTTATCCTTCCAGCTCATATTATGCTTTTAGCTGATTTTTTCATTTAACACTTTTTAAATTTTTTTTGGCCGCTGGCCAGTGCAGGATCCAAGCCCATGTGACCTTGGTGTAATAACACTGCACTCTAACCAACTGAGCTAAACAGCCAGCCCTCATTTAACACTTTTTTAAATCTATAAATGTTGATAAGCCAGCTAACTCATTTCATCTGCAATCTAATATTTAATTCAGTCATTCTGTAAGTCAACAAATATCTACTAAAGAGTACTTGCTTTGTGCCACGCAATTTGTCAGTCCAGATTCAAGGGTAAACTAAATAGACCAAAAAACCTTCCCTCGTGGAGCTCACATTGCACTGAAGACACACAATAAACAACATAACTTAAAAGTATATATAGTATGTTCAATAATAAGTGCTAAAAGGAAAAAAAAAGGAAAGTAGGTAAAGAGAATAGGAAATGTCTAGGAAGGGGCTGGTTTGGCATTTTAGGAATGTGGCCAGAGAAAGTTTCACTGAGAAGGGGACTTTCAGTAAAGAATAAAAGGAAATAAAGCTGCATAATACTCTTGGGAGAAACATTCTAGAGAATGTGGCCAGAGAAAGTTTCACTGAGAAGGGGACTTTCAGTAAAGAATAAAAGGAAATAAGAAAGCTGCATAATACTCTTGGGAGAAACATTCTAGGCAGAGGGGAGAGCAAGTGCAAAGCAGAAATGGGCCTGGCATGTTTGAGAAACAGTGAGGAGGCCAAGAGGCCAACACAAAGTGAACCAGGGAGAGAATAGCAGGAGTGAAGTTGGAGGAATAATGGATGTTTAGGATGGGGAACAGATCAGACAGATCAATGTAATGACTTTGATCAAGCAGAAAACATCACATTTATCCACTGCTTTATCAGTGGACATTCAGGTATTTGCAGTTCTATGCCATAAAGACAATGCTGCAATGATCAACCTTGTACATGATGAGGGATACACATCACACTGCTCTCCAAGTTGGCTGTAAGCAACTCGCACCCCTACCAGTTTATTGAGGATTCCTTACTACACACACTCACCAACAGTCAAGAATATTGATCTAATTTTTTGGCAGTCAAACAATATTGCATCATGTTACTCATTCATGTAAATGTAGGCATGTGTGGAGGCCCTCCATTTCTGCTCTACTGGTTTCATTTTTCTATCTCTGTACCAATCCCCTACAACTTTAATTACTAGGAAATAGAACACAGTTTCTTACTTCTATTGGCCATTCCAGATCACTCATCTGTGAAATGCTTATTTGTCTTACTGGCCCATTTTCTACTCGGTTTCTTATTTATTTTAGGCGTTCGTTGCATATTCTGGATGTAAATCCTATCGGTTATGTATGTTATGTACATGACAAATTATCTCTTCCCAGACTTTTATTTCATTCATGCTGTCTTTTTGACATTCAGAACTTTTAAAGTTTGATATAGTCAAATACACATCAAAATGGTTTTTTTCCATTGATTTGTGCATTGTGTGTTAAGAAATCCTTTCCTGCCTCAAAGTTATAAAGACAGTCTCCTGCATTTCCTTCCACGTTTTTAAGTTTCATTTTTCACATTTAGGCCCATCCACCCATAACGTGCAGACATTACCTCTTAATCACCAAGGTACCCTCCAGACTGTCAAGATCCCCTATGGGGGAGACACAGACACACACACACCCCTCTCATTGCAGACTGTCAAGATCCCCTATGGGGGAGACACACACACACACACTCCCTCCCCCTCTCATTGCTGCAGCTGAGTCCCCATTACAATTACAGAACTGAAAATTACGCTTTCATATTCTTGAGCTCTGAATAATTTCATCCAACATTTTCACATACAAATACACATCCTAAATAGATTTTTCTCAAAGTTGTATGGCATTATTTGCTCAATATAAAATATAGAAGAAACCTACCTTTGGCCAAGTGTTCTTCAAAATAGTGGCTCTCTTTCCATCACCAAGTGCATTTCTAAAAAAAAAAATAAAATACCAAGTGTTCTTCAAAATAGTGGCTCTCTTTCCATCACCAAGTGCATTTCTAAAAAAAAAAAAAGAAAAGAAAAGAAATAAAATACTTAAACTTTTCATTTTTTTATCATGAAAGTATTATATACTGCTTATCTATTTGTACTTTTTGAATTTTTCATGTATATTATCTAGTCAAAAAATATTTTTAAAAATCCATATAATGTACGTCCATTATAGGAAATTTGGAAAATACAGAAAAGTAAAACAAAGGGGAAAAGTCACCCATAGTCACAATCACAACTACCCAGGAATAACTACTTTTAATATTTAAGTACTTCCTGCACATATCTATTGACATCTTATCTATGCATAACGTATTATCTGTATGTTTTTCTGCACTATTTTTGCACATCAGCAAGAATTCTGTTCACCAAAAATATAACTCCCAGGTCTTTCACACAACACATCAGTGAATCTATTTTGAACAGAGCATGGAAGCTGGGACATAAGACTTAGATTAACTCCAACTTAATCACTAATTCTCTTGGGGCCTTTAGGAAGTTATTAACCTTTCCAGGCCTACCTTCTACCTAAAATGACGATAAGTCTGTTCTACCTGTTTTGTTTAGTACCTGTTTAGGTACTAACTTAGATACTGTGTTAAAAAACATACTTTGTAAACTGTCAAGTACTAACAGATCCAATACCCTAGTCTCTTAGGTTCCTAGCTTCCTTATCTTTAATGATCTCCTTCTCTGCCCCATCTTAGCCACCCACAACTGTAGCTCTGGGCAACTTAGCACTGCTCGAAACTGTTCAAACTCCAAAATCACTAACTAGAGCATCCAACTCTTCCCCTATAACCTCGCTTATTTCATCTTGCTTGTTCGACTATTCCTATCTCCTCTGGTGCCCAACTCACTGATCTACCCACTTTCTCTTTCTGTTACTTCCCTACTTATTTAGTTTAAGATTCACTGGTTCATAATTTCATAACCACATGCATACTAATTATTTAAAAAGATTACAAGGAAGGGCCGAGCCCGTGGCGCACTCGGGAGAGTGCGGCGCTGGGAGCGCAGCAGCACTCCCGATGCGGGTTCGGATCCTATATAGAGATGACCAGTGCGCTCACTGGCTGAGTGCAGTGCGGCCGGTCTCAAAAAGGACAAAAAAAGATTACAAGGAAGAACAAAACTAGGTAAGTTATAGTACCAGGTATCAAAACCTACATCAAAAGGCTATGTAAAAAAAAAAAGGTATAAAAGAATAGACAATCTGACCAACAGAAAAGGACAGAGAAACCAGAAACAGATTGTTACATGTAATTGGAGCCTTACATATAATCACCTGATTTGCAATGAAGGTGACCCTGCAGTGCATGGAGAAAATATACCCTTTTAATAAATGGTGCTGGGTCAAGTGGACATTCACATGAAAATCTTGAACCCTACCACATACTAAATTTAAAAAAAAAAAAACAATTCTGGATGGACTGCAGATCTAAATATTAAAAGTAAACAATCAAACTTTTAGAAGAAACAGAGAACACCATGGTGACCTTAGGTAGGCAAAGATTATGAACAGAACACAAAAAGTGCTCACCATACAGGAAAAAATTGATAAACTGTACATTAAAATTAGTTAACTTTTTTGTGGAAAGAAAACATCAAGAGTAAAAAGGCAACATCAAGAGTGAAAAGGCAAGCCACTGAGTGTGAGAAGATATATGTCTGACCAATGACTCATGTCCACAATACAAAACAAACAAAAAAACTCCAACAAATGAATAAGACATTCAACTCAAGAGGAAAAAAAAAAACAGCAAAAAACTTAAACAGGCACTTCACAAAAGACATCAAAATGGTCAATAAGAATATGAAAAGATGCTCAACTTAAATGTCTTTAACCAACTTACAGAAATGCAAATAAAAATCAGTGCCATACCTCTACACACCCACCAGAATATTTAGAATGAAAAATGTAAAATACGTGTTGGTGAGGGCAGGGAACTGAAATTCTCATACACTAGGGGTAAGAATGCAAAATGATAACAACCACACAGCATAACTATGCATTAAGCTGAACATAAGCATACCTTCTATCTCAACAATTCCACTCCTTAAATTATACACTTAATAATAATGAATACACACATTCACAACAACACTACCTATAAAAACCAAATACTAGAAATTAACCAAATGCCCATCAACAACAGAATGGATAAAATGTGGTATATTCATGCAATAGATGAGCACTTTATAATTACATGCAACAATATGGATCTCAAAAACAATGCTGAAAGCCAAACATAAAACAGCACATACTATATGATTCCATTTGTATCGCACGGAGATAGGCAAAACCAACCTATGGAAGTAGGGATAGTATTTATCCTGGGGGAGGAGGTGGGTCGTGACTAGAAGGAAGAACAAGGGGGACTTCTGGAGTACTGGGCTTGTGATCTGGGTGCTGGTTACAGTTGTTTTATTTCTGAAAATTCAACCTATATACTTATGTTTGTATACTTGTCAGTCTGTATATTAAGATTTTTTTTTTTAAGATTACGAGAAAAAGTTGTCCTCCTCCTGCTGGAGATTGTAATATCAGGTTTGACGTCAGAATTACAGTAGCCATCCCACCATCCTGAGGACCAAGTCAAACACTGAGGCTGGAAAAACCTAGGCCTCTGATGACAATTTTGAGCCACTGAATACACAACCCTAGAGTCATCTTTTATTGGAACTCTTAAATGACATGTTTTCTTCATAATTTAAACCAGTTAAATCAGTTTGTTACCTGCACATGTTTTCTTCATAATTTAAACCAGTTTCTTTTATTGGAACTCTTAAATGACATGTTTTCTTCATAATTTAAACCAGTTAAATCAGTTTCTGTTACCTGCACATGTTTTCTTCATAATTTAAACCAGTCAAATCAGTTTCTGTTACCTGCAGCCAAAAACATCCTAATCCAATGTCATAACTCTTAGGCTCCAAGCTGTCTCTCCCCAAACACCTTAAAAGTTGCCTATGCTGGCTGGCTCTGCATCCCCAAATTTCTCAACCCACTCCAACCAGTTTCTGTCCCAAGCTTCCTACTGACAATTCTCCCGCTATTAACTAAATAATGTCCATATTGCTAAATCCAAATTCCATTATAACTGACTTCTCAGCAGCTGCAGACACTGCTGCCACTCTTTTACTTCCATGATTCCACATTTACAGCTTTCCTCCTACCTCTCTGGCCATCTCTTCATATGTAGTGTCCTGTGCAGGTTCATTCCTTCTCTAATTGGCCACTAACTCTTTGTGTTCCTCACAGCTCTATCCTGATTTCTCTTCTAGTCTATCTATACTTGCTCTAGGCCAGTGGGTCTCAATATTGACTGAACAGTAGATCTGGGGAGCTTCTAAAACCCCAACGCCCAAGCTTGAACCTAGATAGATTAAATCAGAATCTCTTGGGTGGGTGATATTTCATCAAAGCTTAAATGATTCCAACACGCAGTCCAAGTTGAAAACCACTTCCCTAAGCAATCTCAAGCAACATCTACAACTTCAATTTCAAATCATCCAGGCTAAATATTCCGAACGGGTCTCTTGCCAAACCTCTCCTTTTGAGTTCCAGACCCACAAAACTCACTGCATACACAACATTCCAACTTGGATGCTTCAAAGGCACTTCAATTCAGTATGTCCACAAGTGATGTCAAATCCTACCTCCTACAAATTTATTCCTCTTCCAGTGATCCCAGTATCAGAAGGTGGGCCCATAATCCACAAAAGATGCTTAAGGCAGAAACCTCAGAACAATTCCAATTACCACCTTCTCCCTCACATTCCAACACCAGACCATAAGCAACTTCTATCTACCTAACTTCTAAAATATTTTGAATCCTTCCACTTTTCCATTTCCACTGCAATTACTCCACTACAAGCCATTATCATCTCTGGCCTAGAGTATTGCAGTAGCCTCCTAACTCATATCCATGCTGCATCCCCTTCTAATCCATTCTCACTGAAACCAGAGTGATCTTCTTGAAGACCTAATCATGCTATCTCCCCTCAGTTTAAAATCCTTTACTATCTTCTCACTGTTCTTAAAGGCCAACAGCCTCAATGCAGCCTATGGGGCCCTCCTTCATCTAGCCCCTGACCACCTCTCCCTCTCCTGTGTATTCAGGCCAGCTGGCACACCCAGCCTGTGGTAGGAAGGATGGTGTCACATTATGGAACTAGTGACACCGCTGGCCCACTGTCTAGAACATAGGGACTATGTTTTTGCTAATTTCTGACATCGTTCATAAGTAGAACCCCAATAATATTTGTTGAATCAATGCTAAATGTTATTTATTATAACATATAACACTGTAATAGTATTAATGGGTTACGATTATAATAAAGAGCATATATTATAAATATCATGCTTATTAATATATGAATATTCTATATTAATACTAGTACATTTTCACATCTGCTAGCATTCACTACATCCTATGGTAGCACTTTCATAAAAAGCCAAGTAGGCACAGTAAATTGCATGGTGGTATTGTTCATCCAAACCACTGCAGACTAGGGTCTAAATCCTGTGGTAAGTGGGTCTCACTTTTGGCAGCAGCAAAATCCTAAACAACAGATCTATGAAAACAGGAAGGGCTTGGGCCGGCCCCGTGGCGCACTGGAGAGTGTGCCGCCTGGGAATGCGGTGGCCCCGCCGAGGGATCGGATCCCATGTGGAGACTGGTTCCCGCTCACTGGTTGAGCAAGGTGTGGGCGCAACGCCGAGGGTTGCGATCCCGTTGCTGGTCCCCGGTGCGGGTGCGACACCGAGGGTTGCGATCCCGTTACCAGTCAGTAAAAAAAAAAAAAGACAAAAAAAAAAGGAAAAAAAAAACAGGAAGGGCCGAGCCCATGGCTCACTCGGGAGAGTGCAGCCCTGGGGGCGCAGCGACGCTCCCTCCGCGGGTTCGGATCCTATATAGGAATGGCTGGTGCG